GTCCTATAGTTTCCAGCAAAAGATTTTGAAAACCAAACTATTTGTGCCACCCATGAATCAATATTACCCTGTTTGGTTTAAACCCTACTAATGAGGGCTTACAAATGGGGTTAAGGCTGGGGATAATTCTAATCTTAATACCATTACATAATGAGGGAGAGAGAAGGGATCTTGAGGTAATAACCACAAAATCTACTACAAAATATTTTGGAGATGAAATTATAACTCAGCTCTCTCTAAAATTATGTTCTATTTTAATAAGATTCTAATTTATGTGATTTAATCATGTTGCTTTTTAGTTTCTTAAATTTCCAGTAAATGTGAAGAAAGTAGTATCTATTCCTAGAGCAAAAGGTAAATTTTAAATGAAGAGTCACTAACCTTTGGGAGATAACTATCTCTTTACATATATTAATGAGGTACAGTGTGGACCAAGGGCTCTCTTTAGCAGACAATTAATTATTTTTATTGATGGCTTCTTCCTCCCGCTATTTTACATGAAAATTTTTCAAATGTACAGAAGTTGAAAGAATTGGACTATGAACACCATAAACTTACCTGACTTCATTCTAAAATTAATATTTTAATATATTTTATTTATTCTTTATCAGAAACTCACCTATCCACCATTCTAGCTACCTTATTTTTAGATGCATTTCAGAGTAAACTTGTTATACTTTATCCCTAGTCACTTAAATATGCATATTATTAACTATAGTTAAGGATGACCTTCTGATTAATAAGAAGCATATGTGCAAAGTTCTGTGGTTCAAGGACTCGATATGAATTAGATTGTCATAGATACTGTTAATTGCTAAAATATTCAAAGATAGATACAAGAATGAAATGTACATTTAAACCTTTTTCAAATATTACTTCATGCCCTCTTAATACAAAGTTTTATTGTGTGCCCAAAAGTTATATATTTAAAGTCTGTTTATTGAAATTTCAGAATACCAAAAATTGTTGATGTGTTTGAGCTCTTTAAGTTTATTACTTACTTAATTAGTTTTGCTTAGGAAACTGGTTAACTGGCAATCTGTGTTGTTACAAGCTAGAAAAAACAAAAACAAAAACAAAAAACTCAAGAAAATGTAGGTTCCTGGTAAATTTATTAGTGTAGTTGACATTTTCCCACCTGCTTATCAGAAAGAACCATGCGGACATTCCTTGAAAATAGGAAGCTTAAAAATACTTGCAAAAAAGCTTAAATATTAGGTTATTGAATGAACTGTCTCACAAGTGAAATTAAATTGATACCTACTTCTTAAAATATAATATTTACTTAGATTTTTCGGGGGGTATTGTAAATGTAGTTTTTCAGTTTTTACATTTAAGAGGATTCTTAAATGACTTAGAATGAATGTATTTAAATGAGAGCCCATTTGTAGAAGACAAAAACCCCAGGCTTTTAGATAAAAGGTTATTTATACATTTTAATTTATTGAAGAGCATTTAGAATATCTCTCACTTTTACTTCTGTTTTTGAAGTAGCAGCTGTATTCCCTTTAAGCAGACTGTTGAATCAGAATATCCCAGGCAGAGCTTTCCAACTGGTGTGTCTGTCAAACTGATGTGTGACAAGTGTGCTTGTCCTCGAGTCACCCTCCCTCTTTCCTGTTTAGTCAGTGTGCCTTACAAATTGTTGTTTATGGTGTGTGTGTGTGTGTGTGTGTGTGTGTGTGTGTGTGTATCCAGAGAAACTGGTTTTAAGGGACGTCATAGTCTGACGTGTTATATGTAAAAGTTTTGCAGAAGAAACCCAATATTAAGCTTTATAAAGTTACATTTAAATCTAAAAAGAACAATTATATACAATATGAATTAACCAAACATATAGTTTTTCTCTTTGAAATTCTTCCTTTTTCCTACAATTAATGAAAAATCAAGGACCATCTGGGTTTTTTTAGTTATTAAATCTAAGAGAGCTTCATTTGATTTCCACAAGTACCTTTCAGGAGTCTTTTTTAAGTTAAAAACACTCCCATTTTTATTGTAAAATTTCTTAAATTGCCTCATTTTTTATTAAATACTACCTTTCCTCCAAAGAAATCAAGGTGCTATATAAAAAAGTTTAGCTAAATCCTACTAAGACTACCTTTGGAGGAAATAGCTCTTTGGCATCACTTGATCACTTTCTGTAAAAACAAATTTAATGGTTTCTATCTTAACAAACTTTTTTTTCCCCAGGAAAGAATTGATATTAATTATTGTTACTGGACATTTTCCATTCTTTAAACTTGAGAACTATTTCTGTATTCTTGAACTTCTTTCTTACAACATTAGAGCTTACCTTGGGCTTTGTCATTTTATTTGCCCTGAAATTTTTATTGTATCCCACATGATATTACTGCTAAGGGATGTCCAAAGTCCTCAAGAACTTTGCCTTCATCGAGGATCAAATTTAAAGGTACCTTTCTCAGCTGAAACTGGTTTGGCTCAGTGGATAGAGCGTCAGCCTGCGGACTGAAAGGTCCCAGGTTCAATTCCGGTCAAGGGCATGTACCTTGGTTGCGGGCACATCTCCAGTGGGGGATGTGCAAGAGGCAGCTGATTAATGATTCTCTCTCATGATGTTTCTAACTCTATATCCCTCTCTCTTCGTCTCTGGAAAAAAAAAAAAAAAAAAAGGTACCTTTCTCCAAGTCTGACCTCAAACCACAAATATCTATCCTTTTCATTTCGTACTGAAGGATTTCTTTCTAGAAGTGGGTTACACTTTCTATTTAATCTAACATTTCAAGGGAATTAATATGTGATACTAAAGTTAAAAATCATCAAGAAGGATAGCTGAGCACATATATCCAAGTGCGTAATTCTCACCAACTTAGTCACCTTTGGAAGTGTATCTCCTTACTCAGTTGCTGCCGCCATTTCTCATGCTACATATAATACTTGGAAAATACATTTTATAAAAATAATGTTGTTTTTATTTTTTATTTTACATCAATGAATAGTTTCCCTCCATATGTTATTTTTCTCTATTTTCTACATTCTTTCTTCTCACTTCACTCACTCACTATGTATTCCCTTCTACTTGATTCATCCTTTCCCACTTTGGGGTTCACAGGACTAAGGTGGAGTAAGTCTATAGCCAAGGAAAATGTTAGGATAAAATAGTCATGAATCAGATTGGATTTGGGAGGGGAGTTAAATCACTACATACAAGGATGCTTTGTATGAGTTAGGGCTAAATTCCTTTGGGGAACCTCAGTGGAGAAGGCATGATAAATCCTCAAGATATTTTAGTTATAATGATTGCAAGTGGTAGAAACCCATACACATACTGGTTCAAATAATAAAGGGACTTTATTGGTTCATTAAATGAAAAAACAGGTTGCCCAAGCTATTGTGGCTCATTTGGATGGACATCCTCTCATGCACCGAAAGGTTGTTGGTTCAATTCCTGGTCAGGGTATATGCCTGGGTAGCATGCTGAATCCCTGGTAGGAGTTGTGCTGTTCCATGTTTTCTCTCTTCCTCTCTCCCCTTCTCTTTCTGAAAATCAATAAAAATCTTTTAAAAAGAAAAGAAAAAACAGGTTGGAAAGGCTTCTGAGATAATTTAAATAGACTCTGCTTGGTTTCTCGGCTCTTCGGTTGTTTCTACCCTTCTCTGGCTGACAAACTAATACTTGAACTGAAGTTTCAAAATATGTGTGTTTTTTCCTTAAGGCTTATGGCTTAAATTTATAGGCATATTTAAGAAGCCTAGCATATGTATTTGGGATATAGTATTGTTAAATTAGATCTGTGCTTAGGTTATTTATATGTGATATTCATGTGTTTAAATATATAAGAAAAGTTTTAGAGCCTATAGAAATTATAGTTGTGTTTTATAGCTATACACATATTAGTTAAATCAAACTGCTTCAGCAGGCCATCTATCTAAATAATAGAGGAATATGCAAATTAGCCAGGATGCTGTAACATCATAACCAAAGAGCAGAAACCTGAGGTTACATGGTGCTGGCTGGGCGAGGGACCTCAGGCTGCACTCCCCACCTGGTGCCAGGCCGGGGGAACCTCAGGCCATAACACCCACCCAGCGGGGCTTGACAGAGGACCTCAGGCACCCCGCCCTTCCCCCCTTTGCCCCCCCCCCCCTCGCTGCCCCAGTGCTGGCTGGGGGACCTGAGGCTTTGCCCCCTGCCCAGAAGTCTTTGATGGGGGTGGGTCCTCGAAGCATGTACAGGTGGTGGGCAGGGACTTGACTCTGGGTCCCACAGTGTGCCTCAGACTCTGACGGGAGGGAGATTTTCATATACATTTGACTAATTTTCTTTGATTTTTGACACTTCTATTATAAAGGGCAACTCTGACACTTCTATTATAGAGAAAGGGCAAATAGCAATATTAAATTATTTCCTCTAATCAATTCCCTTTTAATGTACACAAATTTCGTGCACCGAGCCACCAGTATCCAATAAAAGGTTTTTAATGCGGGTTGCCAAAGAGCAATAAGGGGATGGGCTATAGCAACAATTTCTAGGACTCCCAGCACACATTCCTGAGCTAACAGAACAGAAGAGAGAGCTGTCTTCCCTTGTAAGAGTGGCTTGAATAACCTTTTTTCCTCCCCTTCTCTGTTGCCTCAGTAAAAGCAAATTCCCTGTGTAGCTGTAGGAAGCTTACTCCCTTCTCAGCTAAGCACTGAATCTCATGGAGGGAAAATCATTAGTACTCAAAATAACTAGATAAATGGCTTTGAAATTCTAGGATAATTTTTAATATTACTAGACCCATTTAGCTATTGATTTGTAAGAGTCTCTCAAAGGTATATTTTGTAAATTGTATTTATTGTAAGCAGTTCCATTAAGCATTATTTAGAAATACTTAGTATAGAATATTATGAGTTGTTTTTCATAGATAGTTTGAGAACAAATTTGTTCAGAATTTAGCCAATTAAAGAGTATGTTATTATGCTGTCCTATAATTTCAAGTATCTGAGTACATCTGTGAAAATTATTTTGTTTTTCCTTTGATGTTTTCACAAAACAGAAAGAAGAAGGAAAGCTTCAAGGACAGCTTAACAAGTCTGATTCTAACCAGTATATTAGGGAACTGAAAGATCAGATAGCAGAGCTGAATCATGAGGTAAGTGATAAATTTTGGTCTTCACATATTTCTTTCTTCCTCTGTATTGAAACAACACTTTATTACTGGTTATGTCGGACTCTTTCATGATAAGTGTTTTCTGTAAATTCTTGATTATAATTCTATTTTAGAAGATTGTCTTCTTTTAACAAGATTTTTTTTTCTGTTCGAATATTGAAGATTTATTTTTCTTAAGCCTGTTTAATCATGATCTAAAATAGTCAATATTTACATAAAAATATTTTATTTTTTATTGTGATCTAAAAACCCTTGGTAGTTTGTCTCAAGTGTCAAACTGACTGCAATTAAACTAAAATTTTTTATATATACCAATAGATTTGTGATATTTACCATTGTGGATAGAGGGAAGTCATTTTACTCTTCTCTTCTTTTTTCCTGCATGGTGGTATTCTGAGATTGCAAAAAAGGATACTTGCCTAATTTCAGTTAACAGATTTCTTAGTATCTGAATACTTTTAAACTGGCACTGTCTTGAATCTGTGAGATTTAACTAATGAAATTCAGATAGTTTTGCCTAGTGTACTATATTAAGTAATTTAAATTACTTAAACAAATGTGTTTTGATAGAGAAATGCTTTTTGTTACTGTGGCTCTAGATCAATTTTGTTGTCCTCTTACTATTCTCTAATGATAAATATCTTTCAGACACTAATGGAAAAGCATGTTTCTCATCCGATCTTGAATTATTTGTACAATAATGTTTATTCATAGTGATGAGAATTTAATGGGTAACATAAGCCTCTTTGTTACAGGGGGGAAAAACACTCAGTAAGTTCATTTAAACCTCAATGGAAAAAATTTAGACATTACCCTTTCCTGGTGTTACACTCTTCAGTTAAAGTCTGAGTGTTTTGAGTAATAACTCCTGGAGGTAGACAATCAAAGTAAATTCTGAATCAAGAAACAAAACATTAACAAAATTTTTTTTAAATTTTATATGATTTAATTTAATTTGTCCTAAAATTTTGGGCATCATTCCTGTGAATGTTGATTTTTAGCCATGATAACATATGAGGGATTTAGGATTCTGCATAATTTTTATTTAATTTGTGTCCATTTTTTATTATCTCTTCTGATCCACTAGCCGAGAATTAAAAAACAAGTTACAAATAAGCATGGTCTAGAAATCCTTATTCTTTTGTAAACGGAAGCATTATTCCTTGTGTTCAAAGGTTTCCTTAAGGAAATTAATGACTAAAGTAGATCACTCTCCCATTTATAATTTTGATTTCTAGTGATAAGTTTTCATGTTTCTGAATTAAGAAAATTGTATGTGGATTGATTTTATTTCTGAGACTATCCTAAAAATCAGTCTGCAGATATTAAATCTTCCTGTCATGTATCTTGACTGAAATAATGATACTCTCCTGACCAGGATTAACAGGAAATAGTTCAGAGGAGGTTTAGGGTTACCATCGGTTTTTCATGTGTGGCCTGTGAAAGCAGTCTCTATATTATACAAGCATGCAAAGAAAATGATCCACAGTAGACTTTTCTACTGTTATAGAAAGAGCTAGATTGTGCAAATAAAAGGCAGAACCGTTTATGATGAAATGTTAATTATGGGGTTCAGAGTAGGCCAGAGTCCTGGGTTTAAACCGGTCCCAGGCAGAAAGCATGGTAGAGAGGAGAATGAGTACAGTAGAGCTGGGGCCACAAGAACTTGGGAGGAGGATGAGCTCAGAACACAGAGGTTGGGAGTTTAGAGAGGGCCAGATTCAATTAAGAATTAATGTCACTGCCCTAGCTGGTTGGATAGAACGTGGGCTCTAGGACCAAAGGGCCTTGGGTTTGATTTCGGTCAAGGCCACGTAAGTCAGTTGCAGGCTCAATCCCCGGCCCCCAGAGCCCAGTGCAAGAGGCAACCAATCGATTAGTCGATTAGTCTCTCTCACATTGATGCTTCCCCCCCCACTCTCTCTTTCTTTCTCTCTCTCTCTCTCCTCCCCCCTTCTCTTCCTCCCCATTCTACTCTCTCTAAAACAATGGGGAAAAAATATCCTCAGGTGAGGATTAACAACAACAAATAGAATTATTGTGACTACATTGTGGGAAATAAGGGTAGATTGACTAGGAACCAGTTTATGGTGAATCTTCAAAGCTAGAAGAGATTAAATTTACTAAATAATATGGAACCATTATAGGTCTTCAATTTCATTATGTTTTTTGAGCAGAATTTAATACACTTACCTGTTTTAAAGTTGTAAAACTAAAGAAAAGATAAATGAAAAAAGGTATAGTTAAACCAAGATAATGGTTGAGGTAGACTTAATGAAAATTACTATTTTTAGACCAATTTCTTAAGTTACATAACTTTTTTATTCTAGTGATTTTTCATTTTACTTATTTACTTTTCAATTACAGTTGGCATGTAATATATTTGTTTTAGGTGTACAATATACAATATAACTTACAAAGTTATCACCCCATTCTTGTAATACAGCACTTTACAGAGGGGGAAAAAGGTCACCAAAATTAGTCTAAAATTTCCAACTTAACTTTTGCCTATATGCTAGAATTTGCCAAAAACTTTGGCTTTCAACAAAAAAAATAATTAACTTTCAAATAATAATGGTATGAGCAGGTTGACTTTTAATAGTCACTTTGTTCACTGATTTTTGTACTTCTCTAAGTTTTAAAGGAAAGGTTGAGACAAAACTTGCAGATACAGCATTGTTGTAATGTTATAACAACTGTGACCACTTAGAATAATCAGCTATATGAAATAGTAAAGAGGGTTAAGCAGGTTATTTTTTATGAATGGTTGATTTTATTGTTGATCTGTAAAATAACAATAATAGTTACTATCTATTGAGTACCCTCTATGGGCCAAGCATTATTACTAACTCTCCTTCATAATACTCCCACATGTTGGTGGTATTCTCAGTTGAATGGATATAGAAACAAACTCACAATGATTAAGTAACTGGCCCAGGATTATACAAGTAGTGAATGTTGGGCCAGGATTGAATTCAGTTTGGCCTATTCTTTTCTGTATTGATTATGGAGACATTAGATTAGAAAACATCATAATATTTAAAAATTTAGGAACAGCAATTAATGACAATATTTTAATATGTTATTCACTCTCTTGACATGTGAATTTGCATAAACCCAGTAAGTGAATTCTGCAGTTGTCCTAGCCAGTGAATGAGTTCCACAGTTGACTTAGCCTGAAGAATCTCTCTCTCTCTCTCTCTCTCTCTCTCTCTCTCTCTCTCTCTCTCTCTCTCTCTCTCTAGCACTTCAAATGGAGCTTTATCTTCACTTACTGCAGTTTCCTATGATTCATCCCATTGTTTTCTTTGACTCCCAACCCCTGCTATTCCTACTCTTACCACCTAACTAATTTTGTTCCTAATTTTACCTACTTTTCATAGAAATTTTTTAATTTGGAGCCTCTATTATTCTGGCTAAGTTATCCACAGAATTCACCATGGAAACCTGTGCTACCCAAGACCTGGCAAGAGCTGTGGTTAAATCCTCCGCTATCCCTATATCCTGCCTTCATGGCATACATAGAAAAGAAGCTGGATCCCAATTCAAGTGCTTTCCATATTATCCCATCTTCCATGTCCTACCTTCCTACCCATCTGTCATCATAGCCTCCACTTTATACTAGGCACTGGGTTTTGAACTGAAGATAAAGAAGATTGAAACACAATCTATAATTTAAAAAAAAAAAAATATATATATATATATTTATTTTACTAGAGGTCCAGTGCATGGATTCATGTACAGGTGGGGTCCCTTGGCCTGGCCTACAGGGATCGGGTGAAACCAGCTTTCTGCCATTCCCCCAGGGGTCCCAGATTGCAAGAGGGCACAGGCAGGCCGAGAGGCCTCTAGTATGCATATAAGATCTTTGGTTAATCTCTTCCCACCCTTCCTTCCTTCCTTCCTTCCTTCCTTCCTTCCTTCCTTCCTTCCTTCCTTCCTTCCTTCCTTCTTTCCTTCCTTCCTTTTTTCTTCCTTCCTTCCTTCCTTCCTTCCTTCCTTCCTTCCTTCCTTCCTTCCTTCCTTCCTTCCTTCCTTCCTTCCTTCCTTCCTTTCTTTTTTCTTTCTTTCTTTCTTTCTTTCTTTCTTTCTTTCTTTCTTTCTTTCTTTCTTTCTTTCTTTCTTTCTTTCTTTCTTTCTTTCTTTCTTTCTTTCTTTCTTTTCTTTTCTTCTTCCTCCCCCTCCTCCTCCTCCTCCTCCTCCTCCTCCTCCTCCTCCTCCTCCTTCTCTTCCTCCTCCTCCTTCTTCCATCTTCCGTCTTTCTTCTTTCTTCTTCTCCTCCTCCTCTTCCTCCTCCTCCTCCTCCTCCTCCTCCTCCTCCTCCTCCTCCTCCTTCTCCTCCTCACCTGAGAATATTTTTTCATTGATTTTTAGAGCGAATGGGAGGGAGAGGGAGAGACAGAAACATTGATATGAGAGAGACACATTGATTGGTTGCCTTCTGCACCTATCTGACCAGGGCCAGGGAACCTGCAACCAAGTTTCCTTCCCCATGACTGGACTCAAACCAGGGATACCTCAATGTGTGGGTGGCCACTCTATCCACTGAGCAAAACTGTCTAGGGCCTTTTTTCCTTTTTAAAATAATTTTTTAATTTTTCAAATACAGCTGACATATAATATTATATTAGTTTCAGGTGTACAACATAGTGAGTAATATTTATATAACTTATGAAGCGGTCACCCCATAAATCTAATGCCCAACTGACACCATACATAGTTATTACAATACTAGAGGCCTGGTGCATGAAACTCATGCATGGGGGTGGGGGGCCCTCAGCCCAGCCTGCACCTCTCCAATCCAGGACCCCTTGGGGGATGTCCAACTGCTGGTTTAGGCCCGATCCCAGGGATCTAACTGCCTCCCCTGCCAGCCCAGTTACCCCTAACCACTTCTGCCTGCTGGCCTGGTCGCCCCCAACTGCCCCTCCTCCCCTGCTGCCTGGTTGCCACTCACTACCCCCCACCTCGCCCCCGTGGCG